CACCGTCTTCCTGGTGAGGAAAATGATCTTCCCATCATGTCGTCCCTGCTCCCCCGGCTCTCCCCCATCTTCCTCAGGGTCCCACGCCCCTGAGCCCCATAGCAGGGCTGTTGCCCCGTTTCTCCCACGACCGTTCACGCGCCCGATGTTTTAGGACCCTGAGTGCCCTCTGCATGAATGCTATAGAAGTCGTACCTCATCTGTTTGTAATAAACTCTTTCTAACAGACGTTTCGCTGACTGACACCCTTTTCATTTGGGGGGAGAGCCTAGAAATGACAGCAGGCAGGGACCCGGGGAGCGGGGCCAGGTGTAGGAATGAGGAAGTTGAGTAAAAGCTCGTGGTCTGGTTATTTATAAGAGGCTCAGGGGAAATGGCGGGGAAGTGAAACAGGGGAGAGCTAGCAGCCTTTGTTTATCATGTGCCCTGGTCAGTTGTCCGACTGTTAAATCCCTGGGCACCTGCTTGGAGTTGAAGATAAAGGCCAAGTTGGGGGAGGTGGCCCAGCAGGCGGAGGCGCTGGCTGGCCGTGGTCGGGGGAGCAGAGGCAGGACTGCTGACCACGAATCGCCTGGAGGGGCACCGCAGTCCTGCTGTCTGGTCTCGCCAGGGGTGGACGCTCGCAGACACCCCGCCACGGCAGCTCAGGGCAGGACACTGAACGACGGGCTGGAGCTGGAGGCAGGGCCGGTTCCACAAGGACCACACCATGTCCTCTGAAGGGAGCTGAAGCCTCGCAGGCCTGGAGGAGGGAAGGCCAGGGGACAGGCAGAGCGACGAGGTGTGAGCCAGCTGCCAGAGAGGAGGACTCGCGAGCGAACGCCCTTCAGGGAGACCCACTCCGCACAACCAGCCTGAGCGGCAGGAGCACTTTCTACCAACGTGTCCAGAAAGGAGGGGCTTCCGGCCAAGCTGGGCAACCGCTGGTCAGGGCCGGAGAGAGGGCTAGTTATGCTGTCCCCTCCCATCATTCCGGACACTCCAAACTCCTCAATGCTTTGGGACAATTTGGGAATTTATGAACAAGAGGGAATGCTAAGACGATGGGGCAGCACCTTCGTGCCTCGCTCAGGGCCAAACACCAGTAGGCTGGCAAGTCCTGCAGGGTCCGTGTGCGTTTGGGAACCCAGGACCCAATCCGAGCGGCAAGTCCCCCACCAGCAGCAGCAGGAGCAGCAAAGGGGGAGCCAGGGGAAGGCTTGGCCTCCAGTGGTCAGATCCCACCTCACTTTTCCTTCCAGGGAAAAGGATAAGATCAGGCTCCTCAGCCCCAGCAAAGCGACGGCTCGAGCTCCACTAGTTATGGAGCTGGCTCGTTTACAGTGAGATCGCTGGCACGTGGTTGAGTTTCGTAAATGTTCCTTTAGAAGCAGCATTAATTCCAGCCTCTCCTTAACACACTGGGAGCCTGGGAGAGGGCGCTCAGGGCTCGCATCACCCGCTCTGCGTCCAAAGCAGCCGAGGCTGCGGGGCTGATGCAGGATGGAGCGCTCCCAGCAGCCAGTGTGACTCATATTTAAAGAGAACACTGTACCAGTACGCACAGACTTTTGTAAGAATGAGGGTAAGCGGGCAGGGCACACATTCCCAGTTCTAGGCATGCGTCCCTTTAGGAGACTGGGCCAGCTTCTCACCTCGGAGCTGGGGAGCTGGCACCTCCTTGTGGCCGGCCCAAGTAACTGCTCCAGTCCCTGGTGTTCTTGCCACTGAGCAGACACCTAGGGACCAGGGGCACAGGTGGCAGTGTTGCCCAGGGTTCTTTGCTGTTATAATTTCTCTGATAGTCCCAGAGAGGGCGGAGGAAGAACGCCGAGAGTATGTGCTCCGGATGGGGAGTCTACCCAGCGCGATGGGGCAGGAGGGTAAATCGGATGAGGACTCACAGTCTTTTTTTTGGCCAAAAAGAGCAGGTGTCCAGGGATCTCAACAGGGGAGGAGTGCACTGTCCCTCCCAGGTGGTCAGCACACAGGAAAAAGTAGCTGGAGTCCATGTGGGGGCTTCCTTCAGAGAGCAGTAGGGCTCAGGCAAGGGGCTGAACCGCCCAGAAGTCCCCCAGCCCTGCCCCACAGCCCTGAGGGACATCCCCAGATTCCGCTGCCCACGCGGTAGCACCGGCCTGGAGGCCCATCAGCCGTGCACAATGTGCTCAAATATCGATGATGCCCACTCATGGGCCCTCACTCCAGGCACGTCGGGGCTCGGTTGTCCCGTGGGATGGGGCTGAGCTTGGAGCAGAGCAAGATGAAGGGCTGGAGAGAACGGAACTGACCAAAAGCCTTGAGCTGACAGGACGCACTGTCTGGCCCGCTGCAGGTGCTCCATGATGCTGTGGGAGGGCGGGCGGCGGGGGAGTCACGGGCGCTTGTCCAGAGGACGTCCTGGGTGTGTGGTTGTCCTCTAAGATGCCATGCGGGGCACCTGCCTTTATCACTACCTTTCCCAGGCAAGGCCAAGCCAGAAGCACCCGGCAGGCTGGCAAGTCCCGCAGGGTCCGTGTGTGTTTGGGAATCCAGGACCCAATCCGAGCAGCAAGTCCCCCACCAGCAGCAGCAGGAGCAGCAAAGGGGAAGCCAGGGGAAGCCAGGGCCTCCAGTGGTCAGATCCCACCTCACTTTTCCTTCCAGGGAAAAGGATAAGATCAGGCTCCTCAGCCCCAGCAAAGCGACGGCCAGAGCTGCACTAGTTATGGAGCTGACTCGTTTACAGTGAGATCGCTGGCACGTGGGTGAGCTTCGTAAATGTTCCTTTAGAAGCAGCATTCATTCCAGCCTCTCCTTAACACACTGGGAGCCTGGGAGAGGGCGCTCAGGGCTCGCATCACCCGCTCTGCGTCCAAAGCAGCCGAGGCTGCGGGGCTGGGATCTGTGGCTGTTTACGAAGTGAGGCTCCTGACGCAGCCTTGGGCCAAGGGGCAAAGGCTGGGAAACGGCCAGGACCAGGGGACCATGAAACAGAGAGAGCTGGGGTTCGACCAGACGGGGCTGGCCCTGTGACAACGCAGCGGGAGGGGAACCCATGCAGGGACTCACCTGCTGACCCAGCTGCATGAAGCAGCATGATCGGCACGAATTATGCACTTTCATTAACACTTACCGTTTTCATAAGTATGTTGGGTCATTTTATATTAAGCAAACTAACTTCTTTGTTTTTCTATTTTTTCCCATTGATTTTTAAAAATATATTTTATTGATTTTTTACAGAGAGGAAGGGAGAGGGATAGAGTTAGAAACATCAATGAGAGAGAAACATCAATCAGCTGCCTCCTGCACACCTCCTACTGGGAATGTGCCCGCAACCCAGGTATATGCCCTTGACCGGAATCAAACCTGGGACCTTTCAGTCCACAAGCCAACGCTCTATCCACTGAGCCAAACCGGTTAGGGCTGTTTTTTTTTTTGTTGTTGTTTTTTTTAAGAGAGAGTGGAAGAGAGAGGGAGAAACAGAGAGAGAAACACTGATGTGAGAGAGACACATTGATTGGTTGCCTCCCACATGCGCCCCGACCAGGGCCAGGGGTCAAGCTTGTAACTGAGGTACATGCCCTTGACCGGAATCAAACCTGGGACTGATGCTCTGACCACTGAGCAAACTGACTAGGGCTTACCTTCTCTTTATAAAAGTATGAATACAAGCATTCTGTATGTCCCTAGTCTCAGCACTCCGGCTACATCTTGAAGTGGAGTCAGCCTCATCCCATAGGAAAACCGTTCACAAAGTGAATCCAAAATGAAAACTTTGGATTTAACGGAAAAGGTTGGCACTGCCCACGTGGACACTTCTGGGCGTGGACTCCGTCATCAGACCCGACCCCTTGTTGTGAAGTGGCCGACTCGCTAAAACCTGGTGTAACCCCGACTCAGAACTAGCAGCGCTTTTGTGAACGTAGCAGGAAACCCTCAGCGGAGGGGGAATAGGACGCCCAAGACTCAATACGTATTTGGAAAAAGAGTATAATTTATTTGTACAATATTTCACAATTCAATTTACAGTTTAAAAAAAGATACAAAACAAGACAATTGGGGGGTCACATAAATAAAAGGGAGCAGGAAAAGAGGGACCCGTTCTCACCAAGACGACCCGGGTAACCCCCGGGGTGGGGAGCGGGCGCCTCAGTGCCGTGGGTCTGGGAGACCCCGGGGACGCCGCTGCCACGGAGGCCCATGGAGCGAGCATCTGAGAAGGCGGTCACACCACCTGCCACTCCAAGGTCAAGTCCTAGCAGGAGCATCATTTCATTCCTGGAACCCAACGTCCTGGCTGAGCACTGACCTCCCCCAGCAGTTCCAGCGTGGCCCCTCCTTCCGGGGGACACCCAGGGGCCGGAGGGGCCACCCACGCGGAGTCCACAATACACCTTTCCCTTCTTCGCCGCAAGCACGGTGCTGCTCTCCAGCAAACTCCTTTACAGAACGTGAAACCAGGCGCCAGGCACTGTGAAAGCAGCTCCCACGGGCCGCTGCTCACCCGTGGCAAGGACAACAGTTCCACGGAACCCAATGTGGCAACGACTTGGAGCCTCACAGCCGAGACTCCCTTGAGCACTGAGGTAGAGTAGCATGTGGAAACTGTACAGGCAGACAGTGTCGCTGAATCACACATCCCTGATTGCCCCGGTA